ACGGAGATAACAGGGCATACCTGTTCTCCCCAAGGTAGGTGGCCTCCGGGGCCATTTCGAACACACAAATATGTATTTACGTACTTGGTTTTAATCTTTAATTTTAAACAAAAATATATATAAAGTCAGTTGAATGAAGAAAATAACTGTAACCGTAACCGCAATGTAACTGTTTTACACAAAGTGTATAACGTTTATAAGATAGCGGGAAACACAAGAGCAACATCAAAAAATGCAACCGTTCACTGAGAGAGCTAGTAGGTAACTGTAGGGGAAATTGAGAGAGCGACAAATGACAGTTGAAGTTGCAAGTTTTTACTGGATTTTACTGGATAAATTTTTACTTGTAAGAATTTGCCAGTACGAAAAACAGCTGATCGCATGTTGCTGGATGAAATTTAAACTAATAAGGAAACGGTTTGTGGGAAGGCAGAAACGGGACGATAAATCGTTTTGATTATTCCGGCAAAAAAAAAATGTTGCGTGCTTTTTACCAAACCCATCTACCAACATGTATTTCGACACCTACCGATATATATTTCGACGTACAGTAAATTATGAAAACCCGAAAAAATAGCAAATTAGCAAATTTTCGCAATTTATTTATTAATAATTTTAATAATTTACTCGAAATTTTGTACGAGTCAAACGAACGGTTAAAACCACCCGCCACTCTTTTTGTGTGCCGGTGCTATTATTCCGTGAGTCGCAGGTCCAAGTATCGGCACATTCCGAACGAAAAATTCCACTGAAAATGGCACAACGCCGAAACCGGTTTGTCTCCAAACAAAATTTTACAAGGGATGGTAGAAAATCGTTCCACATTAAATCATACTCCTACCCTGTCGGAAACACCAACAACGAAAATGAGAATAACGGCACATGTAGTAATTAATTGATAGAAAAATATTTTCTATTAAAAAAAATTATTATAATTGTCAATAGCATTTTCAATCTTGATAATTTATCAAGAAAATAGATTTAAACTTCTGTGCTAGAACTGGGAGTTCTTGATAAATGGCAACCATGCTATCAACTAAGTATTTCTTAGGAATGTGTATCGGCAATGAAAATTTGATATATCGGTATCGCGATATTCCAAATTGACGATATTCGATACCGATATATCTACTAAAAAAATATCTATATATCGAATATCGGAAATATCGATTCACACCGACCTCGTTGCTTTGTTAGTTGCCAGTTTTGCGTATATTTTGTTTTCGTTTCGTTGGTTTTTTTAATTTACAAACGCCAAATACTAATACGTAAAACTACAAAAAAAACACGAATAAGCATAAATTTTTATTACGAAGTTACTGTGGATAAGATACACTTTAATTATTTTGAAAACTATTTTGATTTTCCCCTCCTCACAAGCAAGTCTAGGAGGTATACTCTGTATTGCGATTCGAAACTCAATTGCTGCGATCCTCCTTTTGAGTAGTTTATTTACTCCTAACATATTCACTGTTATTTATATTCTGGTAACTTACCGTCTTGTTTTCTGTGCAATGATAATTTTTCAAGTGTACAAATAAATTAGTTGTCCCTCCAGAGTACGCAACAATTTTCTGGCAAGTTTTGCATTTCGCTTTTCTATCTTTTAATCTTTGGAAATCTCTCCACGCTGTACTTTCTGGAGCCATGATTTCGGCAACACTTTCGATGAAGGAACGGGGCTCTGGGGGCTGAAATTCTGAGTATAGGTAGGGTAACATTATTTGGCTTAAATCAATATTTTGCTTTACTAACAGCATTTGTAAATACAAACATTTTAGTAAAATCTGCGGAACTACAGTTTTAACACTTTTTCCAAGAAATAAAAACGTATCTGCATGTATTTATGTATATACACCAGAGTGGCCTTTTTGTTGTATGAAAAATTTGAAATGCATGAATCCAAAAGTTTTCGCACAGAATAATGTGAGGTAGGGGATATAAATAAATACGTAATTAGTTTAAAAGCCTTCAGGTGATTCCTAGAGGTTCCGGGTTGAGCTTTTTCGACCAAAAATGTCGAAATCACACCAACTTCTTTTATTTAGCTTTTTTTTTTTAAGTATATATTAGAAAAATTCTACATTATGCTTTATTTAAAATGATATTAACCGATATATTGATATAAATGATGATTTCATATTTTTCTCAGCTTTAATATTATCGTGTACCATGGTTTTTCAATCTATGTCAGACTTTTTGAACACTTTAAAAAGGTAAATGTATTTAGTTTTCATTAAAAAACAGTTCAGGAATAAAAAATTAGGTTTCATGGTCGTAAAAGCTGAAAATTTAAAATAATAATTTCAATTTCAACATATTTCCTATTAAAAAATCAAAATGATCAACCCGGAACCACTCGGAATTTCCGGAGCTGGAAAAACAAATTTCATATTTATTTTCCTTGCCAACCTCATGTTTTTTCGTGCGAAAACTTTCGGTTTTTGAAAATCGACCAAAAAAGGTCACTCTAATATACACATTTCCCCCGACATATTCATGGTTGAAAATGGAACTATGAAAATGCTCGTAACTACCAAATAAAATCACTAAGCACGTATATTTTCAAATTATGTTCAAAAATTTCGATAAACATGAGAGATTTCTGAATATTTTAAATGCAATTTTAACTTTAAAGTCACTTTTGATGGGAATGAAACGTTGGTGATAACATGCACGAGCAAAAGGAATAATACCAGTTCTGACCGACAACGAAAACACTTCGAAAACGAGTTTTGGGATTGTGGGCTGAATACTGTTCACACCGGCTGTTAGTGTTTTCGTTGACATTTCTTACATCCTCTGATTACAGTTTCGCTACGCAAAAACCAAACCAAAATGCTTTTCCCTCATTTTCTTTTCATTAGCAGCCTCTTACTTTCAATCGTACCTTACTTGACCAGCCAATTAACAATAAATTCGAAACGGCGTATTAAAAATGATAAAATATGACTTCCACTTCGATAAATAATCGAAAAAAACTAGAGAAGACACCGATTGGAATGAGTGGAACGTGAGTTTTCAAGTAGTTTTCAGCGAAAACTGGTTTTCGTTTGACAGATTTTACATGGACGAAAACACAAGTTTTAGGTCGAAAACCAGTTTTAGTAACGAAAACCTGTTTTCGATGTCGGTCAGAACATGGCATAAGAAAGAAAAAAATCAAAGTTGAGTTGCCAGAAATGGGGAAAATGGCATCCGATATTTCAGATATCGAAACAAAATATCGTATCGATACCGTATCGCAACTTTTGATATCGATATGAAATAATCGATATTCTCAACAACGATATTGATATATTGAATATCGTATCGGTATCGCGCATCCCTAGTGTTTCTACATTTGTGTGAATAGTTAAAAATAAACAAATTCGT